AGGTTTTCTCTGTCCTTGCGCCTACTTTATAGGTTCCGCATGGCTTCGACGGCAAAGACAAAAACGCGGTGTCGTTTCATTGCTTACCTGATTCTAATTTCGCGGGACATTATAGATTTTTTAAAGACATTTATTAGGTTTTTGTGTTTTAAAAGATCTAAGACACTAGGTTTTTGGACATTTTCTCAAACTAAACAAGACTGGTGGTTTGCTAAAAAGATGCGAACATTTTTACGAGTTCTTACTTTCGTACGAAACTTTGCGATTCAATTTATCCCTTGTTTTCTAACAATGTATAACTAAAGAAATTAATGTCATTACTGGCAATTCTTCTGTTCAAATTTTCATTGTTGTATTTCGTATTCTAATGACACCTACGTTTAAATGGAATTCAGGAAGCATTATTTAAGTCACCGTTTCGAAGTATGTTTTGAGTGCATTTATATTATTCGTATTTTTTATAAGGCACTCAACTTCCTGACCCACATACATGTACAACACGCTTACCAACAACCTGCATATTCAATGGAATTTCTTGTTATTGGCGAATATTGTATTTATAATGTGATACATTGTTTTTTAAGTTGAGGTGCATAGAAGAATTTCCTGCAATAGCCCACTGCAAAATACATGTACAGATATTGATAAATATAAAATATTTTTATTACATTTTCAGAAACGTACTCAACTCTACAAGAAAAAAAACAAACAAACACACAAACAAACAAAAAACTGGCGTGCACGGCATTCCATTCCCAATGGTAAAGGTCGAGGCTTCGCAACAGATGCAAGCGAGCACGCCCGGTGCAGACGTTAGTAATGAAAACATATGTTGCCAAACATCTATGTTTTAAAGCTGGTTCTTTAATAACGTCTAATATTAAATTCGTGCTCAACAAAATTAAATGTGACTGTGGTCCTATACATTAATTTGTAATGGAAATGTAACCGATAAAGTTATGTGTTATATGTGCCTCTATGTGCGAAATTCGGGCTGAGATGAAGGAAATACCAAGGCATGAAAATCATCTGGGGGTGAGGGATAGTTTGCTCAATGAAGGTAGTACAAATCACTCTCCTGTAGTTCGAACGTAGTAGTACTATGCGTTATTATTTCACATTTTAACTTTTAAAAATGTTATTAAGTTGTAAAAAAATTGAGCACAAAACATAATGTTCAAAAAAATTGGCTTTAATACATTGATGTTTAAAACATCGGCATCGGTGTCTCATCCGTAGTAGAGATGGGCTTAACAACTTTTCTTCGGAATCGAAATAACAGGTGACACGTAATGACGGTTATTAATATCAGTTGAAAACAACAGATCGATGAACAGCAACCTAACATGGAGGATTGTGGTCGACTGCTAAGAGTTAATCAGTTGTGGCGTCTGCTAAAAGGTAAACCAGGCAAAACTAATAACGTTGGTAGCATCATAAAGCTTGTGCAGCTACCGCACGGCGCTTGCTTGCACGTCTTCCCCAAACATATTTGGGCCGAGAAACAGCTGATATGAACGAGCCGCGATGAACGTCCAAGAAAGAAAGGTAATCGATACGATGAGTAGCAAATGTGTATAGAATATTACCAAAATATTTGTTTCGGGTTCAGATTGCAACTATTCTTTCTGATATGCAACTTGTGTATAGTGAAGTGGCGAGTGCCAAAAATAATGAAAATCTGTTTTGTTTACGTACTGCGAAAGTAGTAATGCCTGTTGAATATCAAATTATAATGCGAGTTATTTGATCGTAACTCATTTTATTTTATCAGATTTATTATACTGTTACGGAAATATTAGTGGATTACAACTAAGCAGCAATGGAACAAAAAGAAGTTAACAAACACATTGGACGGATTTTATTTACAGGACAAACTTATTATAGTGTATACAATAAAAATAAAAAGAATCATATTGTGGCGCATGGTGTGTAATAATGATGAATTGTTTAATAATGAATGTAAAAATTGAACGCTTGCTTATCATAATTGATTAGCTGCAATGAAATTGTTGAAATTGTTCGCGTACAAAATGGTTACCGCGAAAGCTTGTAGCGGTTCGAATTTCGCCCATGACATTGTAATGTTATGCATTTCAACTGATAACAGCTAATAACAGGATAAACAAAATAACTGTTATTTCCCAAAACAGTTACGAAACGATAACTGTTGAGAGCACATTGCAAATTGGTAGTAGTCGCACGACGACGCAGTTCGAAGCGCCAGCGTGCTACAGCCTCGCGCGAACTCCTGGTTCAACTTCCTCGTCACCAGTTGAAACAGATGACCTGTGGACCTCCTTGAGCGATGAAAGCGTCCTTTTTCATTCTAATGAGATGAAATAACTGATTACTAATGTTCGATTTATTGAGACAAATGCTTGGTTTGGACTAAAATTCATAATAAGAGGTCGTATCGTTACGTCTTTCGTCTCATTCTTATCGAAGTATTTTGGCCTTGTGTTCGTTACATTCTGTAAACATTTTATGACACACTATATGATGTCTCTCGGCATCATACATATGTCGAACAATTTCGCATAATCTTTGGAGTAAGATATTATCTGAATTTTCCTCTGAGACTGATCTAAGAGTCTCCCCATTTTTTCCCTTAGAATGACTTTAAAGATTACTCAGGAAGTGAAGTCGTTGGTCCAATGAAGTCTTGGGTACGGCTGGCTGGCGCTGAGCGCAAGACCTGATATATGAGAGCCTGAATTTTGAAGGAATTTACAATTCAGTTTAATTAGAGATTTTAATGGTTAATTAGTACAATAAATTGTAATTTTTTTTCTGGCCTTCAATAGTTTACGATATTATTGGTTTACAAATGCACTTCATATGACAAACATTTTCTTTAATTGTAGTGAAAGTATTTAAATGTAAGGTTTGGTAGTATATTTAACAAAGTTTCGGGAATAAATGTTATCTCTTCTTCAAGTTTCTTTGAAGTAATATAAAAAATAGAATGTGTGTGTAAGTTGATTTAACTTGTATAGCACATAGCAAAGAACCATTCCGATTAAAAAGTAACAGACAAATATCTTATAAAAAAGTTGGATAAAAAATGTAGTATTGACTTGTTCATTTTTGAATTCTATGCATTTTTAATTCTGTTTGAATTTGCAGCTAATGTATTTTTTCTCTTTAAACGATCTATTAAATTGATTTTGCTGTATAGTCTACGACTTTTATAGCCTTTTAAATCATTTATTGACAATTCGTTGAATGTGATCGTTCTCCCCAATGACGCAGACAGGGAAGTGTTTTTCATTCCATTTGTAGTCAAAGAAATATTTTAGCTTCGACGCTAGTGCGCGATTTTTCTATTCCGTTTCCCTCTCTCGTTCCCACTTCCGAACCAGTTGCCGCTCCCGCTCTCGCTCGGCGTACGCGGACGTGACCGCATTGGGGCAGCGGGGCGGGTCAACGACCCCAGGAGGCTCCGACCGACGCTTCGGTCCCATCACTCACAAGAATTGCGCTGCGTTGTGTTTTATGTGCCGACGCATTTCTTCATGTGTGGTGCATTAGCAAGTTAAGTGGGTGCGAATGCAAGAGTTGACCTTTTCTACGTGTAAGCTTCACAAGAAAACGAACATAAATGGATTCGCACAATGTCCCACATTTTATTAAATAGTTTTTTGTTCCTTGTACCACTTTTTTTTTAAACTTTCCCACGACATTTCTATAATTGCATAATGCAGTATTGTTCGATCGAGAAGGCTGTGAAGTATGCATTTCAAATATTACTCAAAAATTTATTCGACATTGACTTCTAGGTACGTCTTTATTGTGGCATTTCCATATAAACTTTTTTAGCGTAACATTGCGTGGGAAGTTTGCATGTTGTGCAAATAACCTGCTTCTTGTAACTCGACTCTTCTCAAAGATTAGACCGAGACCTTCGAAGTATGATACTCGATGATATTCGATCCTCCTTATTATCGACCTTGAGTAACGTGTTTCGTCTTACATAAACTCATGATGGATTTAGATGACTAGGATATTGGTATATTTCTGCGTAGCTCGGATTAGTCGAATATACTGTTGTACTTTACAGAGACGCTTTATGAGTACTAGATTATTACGTGATGTATTCTAAACTGTGATCAGTAAAGGGAAGTTAGGCGTTCTGTTCTGAAAATTATTTTATTTTAAATGTGAAGTTTTGTGCTGTGGGGGATCTTTAGTTTCGTTTGAAGAAAGCTTTGAATTTAGTTTTAGGACGTACCTGGAGAAGGAAAACATATATACACAATCTTACAAAATGCTTGACATTTATATTGGACAAAAAAATCTGAAAAACGAGAATTTCAAGGAAAAATGGGATTAACGTGTTTTAGTTTATCTAATTTTAATTTAATTTTACAGTTATAAATCGGATGTTTAAATTTTCTTACAAAAATACTATACTAATTTTGCATTCACTAATTTGTAAAGTCCGCTATTGCAAAGTAGGAGATAGACAGAACGATACTCTCACAATGCGGATTAATGGATTGGCCTGCAATTTTAGGCATTCACATCAAAATGTATCATGCCACTTCTAAACTACTAATTATGGCGGAAATGGCGAAAATTTAAAAAATGCAATTAGTGTAAGTAGTTCAGTGTAATTAGCTTTGACATGGTAAAACTATAATGTAAGAATTTATATTTCTTGATAATTATGTAGTTGTGAGCTATTGTGGTCCGGAGAGAAGCATTACTGTCTTGTTTGTTTGGTTTACGTTACCATGTCATACTTGAGTCGCTTAGTAACTCATTAATTCTCTGCAATTTAAATTAATTTCAGAATTCTGGAGGTTACAATGTTTAGACAACAGAACACATTCAGGAAGAAGCACTTCAAATATATGATTTGAGTAACAGGGATGTAATCGAGCGTGTCTACACATTCGAATGAAACTGCCGCTTATGAAGGCGAGTACGTCTCCGAGCAGTACGGCACGTGCCTACTTTTGCAAATAGCGCGTGGAAATGAGTGTGAGGCCCACCTGTGCTCAGCTGACGCGCTGCCCACTGCCGCCGTGCGCTGTCCGGTGTCACGTCCGCGAGAGCCTCTGTGACGAAGTGGTCGGAGCACGAGCGAGTAGCCGGCGCACCCGCCTGCGGCTCGGTCAAGGCTGGCACTGCGGTCGCCTCACTGCTGCCGCCGCCGCCGCCGCCGCCGCTCCACGCCACGCCCCCTTCCGCGCCGGCCCTGCTCCCCACTGCCGCGGCCCCCAGGAAGTCTCGCCGACACGACACGTTGGGCACCCGATGCCCTCCGGAGCACTGCCTGTGATTCCTCAGGAGACCCTTTAGGCTGTATTGCTCCCAATAATTGGACAGGCGGGACAGCCACTCAGTTTTGATATCCATCTGTTTTATACGTTATTTTGGAATTGGATGATCCGGGGACTTCCTCTGTCACTAACGTAAATTCATACCAGCCTGCAGATTAATGCGATAGGAAAGTGCTCACTGAATGGGATTTTGTCGTAAAGCAAAATAGAAATAAAAAGCAGAAATTACGACACCGAAAACTACCTTCTCGTTTCAGGCCTTATGTATACTCTACTGGAGATTTCTGTTTCTTTTGAGAATGCCCAGCCGAGAATTTCGAAATTTCGTTAGTTTGTTAAATAGACTTGATTACATAACATGGAACGGAATAAAATAGATTAGAGAGAATTTGCATACATCGTTTCTGGCCACTTAAAATAAAAAAAAAATAAAAAAAAAAATTGAATTGCCATCGTATTTTATTGATGCTAGCATATTAACTCCGGGGTACTGATTTTTCTCCATATCCATTTTTAGTCCAAGGAAGCTGTAAAGAATTTTTCCTATGGTTAGATTAGTGAAGGTGATTTCACCGGTGTTAATAGATTTAGTTTAGTTAAATCTTGAAACTGCAGTTGTGAAAGTTTTTTGCTCGCCCATTAAGAAATCATGACGGTAATTTTTGTAATCTGGTAAGGAATATAAAGAAATACAATGTGAAAAGTACAACATGTAAAGGTGAAACATCTCCTTGCTCGAAACAATATAACCTCGTGGAGAGCTGCCTCCAGATTGAGCACCTTAATACGATAAGGAGTACCGTCAGTCAAAAACGAATCAAAAAATTTGGAGTTTATCATTCCGTGCGGGGCGGCTATGCTTTATGCCGACTTACTCCGCACGACATTCATAAATAACACAGAGAATGCAACACTGTGGCTCTCTGACTTTTAATAACTCACACAAATTTACAAGCGCTGAAGTGGTGAAAAAAACAGTTTACCATTGAGAGAAATACAGTTTTTACACAGCAAATCACTTTCAACGGTTCCCTTCCAACTCTCCACGGTTCAACAAACATCTGTTAAAAAGAAGCAAAAAAGGGTGGAATTACTAGCTTGCCTAAGATTCCGTGGAATTTGACTGGACGTCCGAGCCGGAACTCCGTGCAGCTATCTGTTGGCCAAATAACCAAACGTGTGTATTTTCACGTTAGGAGTGTTGCCCGACCTTCGGTATACTCTGTTCATTTTTGTGTTAATCCGCGCGATGTTTGGAGATTTAACATACACGAAGGCGAATCTCGAGTGCCAGGGAATCAAAATTTCCAGAGCTCAGATTCTATTAGGCCCAAGAAGAGCTTATTTTTATGCGAAATGCATTTTGATGTTGTTTCATAATTAATAACATGAACGTTTCATCATTTTCAAAAAGCTGGCTTTTTTCTCTTTCATTTAAGATCTGGGGTTCTTTTTCATAGTTGTACAAAGTTTTGGGTTCCTCTAATGAAATGAAGAGGTATCTTAAGGAATATCATGAACTGATGATGTCTATGACTATGAAGGTGTTTTGAAGCAAATATTTTCCTTAATAATATTCTATAAGAGTGTTTTGCATATGGAGACTAAAGTTTCATTATTAGGTACACATTTTGATTCGTACTTTCAAACACGTTTCAGCTTCGTTGAACCGGAGGCAGAAACTTACTGCGTAGTTGTGTGTGCGTTGTAACACTCTCACGGATTTATTGCGGAAAAAAATCACGTTCTCGACGTTAGTGATGACCTTTGGTTGTTTTCTTTCAAATTCGTTCAAACATATTTGGTCTTATCGTATATGTGTGCTCCTTATTTACAGATATCTGACGAAGGAAATTTTCTTAAAGGTGCTGAGGACGTAACGAATTTACGAAATCCCAGGTGCTTTGTTGGCGTGAGTAGTGCTATGGACGGGAAATTTGTTAGGTTGATACTTTCGAAGCACACTATTATGCAATCTTTTGGAGTGCGCAGTTATTAAATGTGTGGCAGTATATCAGATTTAAAATAATTATTTCATTTTATAGCAGGAAAATATTAATTCACAATTAACTCACGTTTTCAGATTTATTTATATTTTTTGTACGATATTATGTATACATACATAAAAAGTTGTAAGACATTGCCACCTGCTTACCACATGTCTCCCATGGCCTTCACCTTGGGATTACATTGCATGTCCATAATGTAATATTCTCATAACGCGGCAGTGGTACATACACGATCATGCTTGCATATGTACATCATACTTGTATTACACCTATATTTATGTATATAACTTAATTATTAACATGTGTAATATTACATTTTTTATGTTTGATATATACCTTTATTGAAATATTTTATATTTAGCCCATATTTATTTTTTGTTATTACGAAGAGAGACCACTTGAGTTGATGTGCCCGCAAGTGTGCTACATTGCGCATAAAGCGATTTAAGGGGCTTTGTTCAGCTTGCTGGTTCCGGGATCGTAATGTGAATGATTCTTGTGCTGGCTGAGCGAGCGGTGTTTTCTCCTCCGCGCGAAGAGGCTGCGTTGGCCAAGCGCTATCTCCGTGTGAATGACCAGCTGCGGCGGAGCTGGTGGACGCGTTCTTCTGTCTGGGCTGCCGACGGGCGCTACGCGTGCCAGCATTGTCCGCCACGCGTGGCATCGCCGCAGACTCGCTGACGCCCACGCCCGCAGTCACGCGATCGTTTGCACTCTTGGCGCGGCGGGAAGACGCGCGCTGTAAGGCGATTAAATCGGAATGCACTGAAAGCATTAATTGTTTGCAAGCGACTGATGAGCTCGAGTAACAAAGATATCTCGAAGTACTGTCAGATGACCCACCTTCCTACCTCTTCAACTTCCGGACGCAAGGAGATCCATTGGCCTCTGCTGTTTGAGCAGGATAGTCTCCGAAGTAGTGGCGTATCCTGGGGGAAACATGGGCCACGCTCCCCCCTCCCAAAGAAAGGCCTTTTACCTTTGGTAAACGTTATTTAAATATGTATGTTGGAATAATTTAATTATTTAAAACATAAAGATGTATAGTATTATATATACACTAGAAAAATAATATACAATATAGTAACAAGTATGTTTATTGAACAAAACTCTATGATGGCCTCCTCCAAAATGATCCGAATGCCCCTCTATCGTTGATGTTGGTGCCACCTGCGCGCCGTCCTCAGCGTTTGGCTGCAACGCGTCTGCGAGCGCGTGCGGCGCCCTCGTTGCCTCCCGGCCCACGCCCCAGCCCGGCCCCCTACGCCCCGTTACCGCGTCCCGCGTCCTGCTGCCACACAGCCAGCGCTTTGTTCGTCCCGCGCGCGAAGCTTCGTGCTGGAGTTCACGGGCGCAGACACGGCCCAAACGCTGGTCCTGACGCAAGCCGCTTCTAGAACGACACATCTCAATGCGTTGTGGGACGTCCTTGATTTTTAAGTTACGAGGGAAACAATATATTGTTTTTTGTTTGTTTTCAGATCGGTTATTTTCCGTGTGTATTTTTTAGTACAATAGGGCATATACTCAGCTCTTTATTAAAATTGCTTTCGCCCCGTCTTTCTGGTTTGTTCTAAACAATTTGAGCATCGGTTTGAACAAATTAAGCAAACGGCTTTCCACAACGAGACCTTGCACATTGTACTCCTCCGTGTTTTTGGGTGTGTGTCGAGTGTCGCAACCTAGACACGCCTCTTTGATGATCGCTTTTTCCGTATGATTTTTACGATGTTATTTTACAGCAGTTTCCAAGGCATAGCAGTAAAACTGTGTAGAGACGTATGTGTTAATCGTATTTAATTAGAGGACCATCCTAACTTGCATGTTGGCTTGTTTCTTTTTTCTGTACTTGAAATTCGGGAGCTTGAAAGTTGGCGTAAGCGCAACGCGACCCAAAGCGCAGGAATCGGGGAAAGCGTTGTTGTTCTGCGAACAGCGATCTGTGCCGCTCACATTTCGTCGAGCACGCGCCTCGCCGCTCCCTCATCGCAATGCCAGTCCTCTTGCTGGTTGCCCCGCTGCCCGTCCGCGCCCTTCAGCCGCTCTCGCCTAGTCACAGCGCGGCGCGGCGCGATCGCGATCGCGTAGCACCCACACAGAGGAAAGCACAGGAGCGCTGTAGGGGCCGCACGACGCCTGGCGAAGTAGCGCCCGAAATAGCGGCGGCTGCCATTCATAGCTCTCGTCTGAGCCCCCTGCTTCCAATGCAGGACTTGATGTGTTGCCGGGTGTACGAAACGTTTTCATTATCGATGACTTGCACGTATCGGTAGCTTAGTAGAAATGGCAGACTGGTAGGCCTGCGCATGTAATAAATTAGGAACCTCTTTTGTATGGAATTAGAATTGAAATGCATAGATAAAATATACTATTTGTTACAATTTGTCATTATTGTTACATTGTCAGACGCGCAACCAGGTTATTTGTAGGAGGGAGGGGCAGTAGTTGTAGTGCCCAACCGACTTGATATTTTCTTGTCAATTTTTCCGTTATGCTGAATTAATTTATTTTTGTTAATTTATAATGTATGTAAGTGAGAAATTGATGACAGTAGTTACTATTGAAAATTAGCAAAAACTATGATTGTGAATAAGCCTCCTCGGTTTTGGAAACTGATAGTGTAAATATCTACGAACCAATCATCTCTTCGTTGCGCCACGAGACATTGCCATTATTAGTACCACAAAAGCTGCCAATTGGTAGTCTGTATTAAGTTATATTGCGTAAAAATATCAGTTGAAAATGTGCTTACAAATAGGATACAGTTATTACATCAGTTTCCCATATTTTTTAGGTGAATAGTCTGTACAAGGAAAATGAACATCGCATATAGAAGTGGTAATTCCTACTTATTATATAATACATTCAGCTTTAGCATCTTGTGTCATGACACATTTAGCCCAGGAAGTTCCTCTTCCTCTACTCCTTTCTGTCACTGGTGTCTTATCATCAAGCTGTCCTCTGAAAAGCCAATCCCTTCCGCACCAACAAAAACCGAATGAGCCAATAGCTGAGGGACAATAGTTTCCGATCATGGCGGCTTTGGTGTCGACATGGACTTTCCCTA